TGGATGTCTTCTTCCTTGCCTTGGTTTTGAACCCATTTGACCACCACCAAGGAACCTGGCCCAGCCACCCTGCTCCTGCTTGGCACCTGACTAATTTGGAGATGAGGCAGTAAAGCCACCTCAGGGCACCTCCAGCACCAGGCTGAAGCTCTCTGTCTGCAGAACTGGTGGGAAGTGGTGCAGGTGGTGCCCTAAGGACTGTTTCCTTGCCTCTGTCTCCTTTGGCACAGGCAGAGCAGGGGTCGGTGGGCAGAAACATGTACTCAGGAGGTCTGGGGATGTGGTACAGATGCAGTCACAGGTAGCATTGCCCTGAATTACACCCATTGTGCTAAGGATTCCCCTTCTCCTCTGTCCTGTAGCAGAAGCAGGCTATTACTGTGTGGTTCAGGCAGTGACATGCTTAGCATAATAAACATGTGATATATAGTCAGACACCTGCTGCTGGAACTGATTGTATTTTTTGGGGGTGGGGTGTCAGACACCTGCTGCTGGAACTGATTGTATTTGTTTGGGGGCGGGGAAACAATATAATAACTCTTTCATAATGTGATACATTTTTTAAAATTATTGTCCATGTCCAGGGCAAAATGGCATCACATCCTGGGCCACTGATACAAAATGCTGGGTAATCATTGTTAATATGATAAGGATGTATCAACATAGGAAATGTGTCTTGCCAGTCGGCGGTGTCCTCAAACATGCTGGGTTAACTAGTCCTTCCTTCCCACCCACCTTCACAGCAGCACATGAAAGGAAATATTCTGCTTCTGGTGTGGGGAGTAACATACACCAAATGGCCCAGTGGACTTAACAGTAGCATCGCCTAGCCTGATAATTTTGATAATGTAGATATAACCTCATTGGTAGCTTAAGGACCTGGTTACACAGAGCTTGCCAGATTTACATATGGGCAGCGGTCTAAGCTGCAAGGAGGAAATAGCTGATGATAGAAACACACTTCCTTGTCCATGAAGCCAGGTACAGGACAATGGAAGCACTGGCAGCTCTGGTGAGTCTGGCTCAGTCCTGCTGGTCTAACTAGAAGACTCACCAAACACCCAAGCAGCAGAATGACAGAAAATGCTCACAAGCTTTCAGGAGACTCGCTGGGGGTTCAAGGGGAAAATATTTCAAGAAGCACTCCAATAAGGGACTTAACAATTTGTCAACTATTAAACCAGCTTAAGTTACCGTTCAAGGATCATCTGCAACACAGACATGTAGCATGTGTTTGGGTTTGTGTTGTATCCAATTCTTCGTGCTATAATGCAAACTTGCCATGACTGTATCAAACCATTTCAGAAGTGCTTTAAGAACCATGGGTTGTTATTGCACTGGTCAAGCGTACCTGAGGAATGGAAACACATCCATGCAAGACACATTCGTTCTACAAAACTCTACATGCCTGCTACTCACTGTAGACTGTAGCCAAATTGGGCCAGTACTGAGGGGTTCATCCCAAAAGCCTGGGAAGGCCAGTACTGAGGGGTTCATCCCGAAAGCCTGGGAAGGGCACAGAAGTACTAGTAGGCCCCAGGCCATGACACCTACTTTGGCCTGATGATTCTCTTTAGTCTTCAGTGCACCGGGTATCCTCTGTCAGTTCTTTTGGAGAGTCCATGCATTACTGTTCAGGGAAACAAAAGCTTGTCCTACGAAGCCTGCTCCAGTAAGATTTCCTTCAAGGTGTGTTAAGTCATAGTCTTAACCATCTCTCTGGTAGCAAGACATTGGCTGCTGTGCTTGCAGGAAACCAACACAGCTTTCAACCTAGGGGGGCAACCTGTGGTGGACTGGCTGGCCAAAATGGGATAAACCCCATTTCTCTGTTGTGCTCATAAGTGGAATCCAGACAGAGCAATTGTAGCTGCATGGAACAGTGCATAAGCACAAATAATTACACTTACACATCTGCGTTTCCTTTGTAGGATCAGGGTTGCTTATGCTCAGTAGGCTGCACTTTCGCTGCATAAGTATTCAGGGTTAACAATCACTTGGGCATGTACTTAACAGCATGAAACTCCAGAAACTTGAGTCTTCCTCTTTGTCTGGTATGTATGTCAGGTGGACAATCCAAATTGTGGAAATAAGTTTAACCAGGCCTCTTACTTGTCTAAGAAGAGAGAGAGAAAGAGAAGAGAAAAAGATGCTGATGCTGTGTGTTTTAAAATGTTCTAAGATAAACCTTCATGCCTTGTTTTGTCTGTGCGCAGATGTTAACCTTCTCCTTTCCGCTGAACCAGAAACTGACAACTGTTCCCAAAACATAGTGTTATCCAGACAGAGCAATTGTAGCTGCATGGAACAGTGTATAAACACAAATAATTACACTTACACATCTGCGTTTCCCTTGTAGGCTCAGGGTTGCTTATGCTCAGGAGGCTGCACTGTGGCTGCAGAAGTACCCAGGGTTAACAATCACTTGGGCATGTGCTTAACAGCATGAATCTCCAGAAACTTGAGCCTTCCTCTTTTCCTGGTATGTATGTCAGGTGGACAATCCTAATCCAGCACAAGAGAAAATAGAATCTGAATATTGTGCATATGCCAAAAATTGCCATAAGGCAACTACAAAGATGCCACCTTGGCATGTCAAGGTGCAATAAGATTTAGCTGTGAGTATCCTGGTGAGGTCATAGCTTGCCTTGACTTTGATCCCTGCTCTCAAACCCTTTTCCTATACCACCGTTGTCTGAGCCTGGTTTCTAACGTTTGGTTGTTTCCTGATTATGACTCGAGTCCTGACTCCTGGACTAAGCCTGAGCCAGCCGTGTCTCTCAGGTCCTGAGTCTAGCCCCTAATGCTGGCCTGTTTCTGAGCTACTGATTCTTGTCTCTGGCTAAATCCCTACCCAGGAAGACTGACGGCCCATGCCCTGTCACGGACATCCAGGAGAGATGGAAGGGTAGTAGTTTAATGAAGGCCTGAATGTGACAGAAACTTCACAAAAGTCACATAAAATTATTCTGTGAGCCAGAAACCATGAACACTCAACAGGGGAGAGACATAAGCAGGCTGATGTAGAAACAAAAGAAGAAAAGTGTGTGCATATTCCACAAAGCCTTGCTCTTCCCCAGTGCTTCAGTTCGTAATAGTTTCAGTTAATCAGATGGCTTGACCAGCATGGTGGTTAGGTACCACGACGTGGCCCATGGGAGCCTTGAAGGATGTGGGTATGGGTGGATGCAGGGCAACAGGGGAGAGACATAAGCAGGCTGATGTAGAAACAAAAGAAGAAAAGTGTGTGCATATTCCACAAAGCCTTGCTCTTCCCCAGTGCTTCAGTTCGTAATAGTTTCAGTTAATCAGATGGCTTGACCAGCATGGTGGTTAGGTACCACGACGTGGCCCATGGGAGCCTTGAAGGATGTGGGTATGGGTGGATGCAGGGATTTGAAAAGAGGGGTGCAGGAGACTACACCTGTGTCCCTGTCCCCCACCAAGGGCAGGTGCCAGCATGACAGTGGCTGTGGGTGACTTTTTGAAGTCCTGTAAACTCTTCCCTCCACATCTTAGCACCCTCTCCCTTCCAGTGCAAGTACCCCTCCTCTCCCACACTCTCCAGCAGAGGTTCCTATGTGTTGCTTCTGTGTGGAAGAAGGCTGACTTGTCCACAGCCCCCGATGGCCATGGGTCATCCAGTGGATGGGGGAGTCCCAGGGCTGCTCCAGGCAGGGCCAAGGAGAAATGACACCCTGAGGTGCCAAGCTTTGCTGGGGATATTGAGAGCAGAGGGTGGTTCCTCTCTTCCAGCCCCTGCTCCCAGACTGCGAGGGACACCTGGGAGGTGGCAGGGAGCAGAAGTGCCTGGAAACCTGCTGCCACTGCTGCCTCCAGCTGACCAAAGGCAGGTCAATGGGCAATTCCCCCATACAAGCACTCCTGCACCTGTCCAGCCCTTGGGTGTCCCCATTGGTGGAAAGGAACGGGGAAGCATGACAGGTAGCCCTCTAAACCAATCAGTACCAATGGGTAGGGGTGGTAGCCACCTTGCTTGCAGTCCTTCATGCTGGCAGCCCCTTCCCCA